GATCTCAAATTAAGGACTAACTCGAATGACCTTCTGCCCTTTGACCCTCCTCAGGGTTTGCAGAAGTACAGACCGCTCCATTGTTCACATTTCACTCATTCAAACATTTATGTAGTGCCTATCCTCTAGTTCTCAAGAGCTCACATCTGGCAGGGCAAGCACATTTGCATTATAGTTATTTTGTTGTCTGTCCCATAATGAAATTATATACAAAGTTCTATGGGGGTATAAAGGAAGAAGCAATTAATTCTTTAGTCAGTGGGAGTTAGGGAAGGTTTCACATTGAAACTGGGCCTCAAGGGATGAAGGGGAAAGGTCATTCTGGAAGACAAAACAGCAAAAAAGGCACTTGTTCTAGGAACAGAGAGCACTGTCACACAGCTACTGCACAGTTTGGAGCAAAGGAAAAAAAAGTAATAAAAGATGGAGCTGGAAAAAAGGGAAATAAGAGATTTTGAAGGGGTTTGTACATCATGTTAAAAATTAATGGGGCAATAACCAAGATTTTGGGGCAGACGTAAACTGTTCATTTACTTATAGTGGCAATGAGAGAAACATGCACAGGAAGAGTCCTTAGAACGTTTCCATAGCTAACAAATGCCATCATTTTTCTTGATTCAAGTAACTGACAACACATTAAGAACCAATCTCACAGTCTTTTCACTTAAAAGTCTAAATGACAGACACTCTCCTCCCTATTTACCGAAGAGAATAGATACTAAGCTCTAACATAAATACCACTTGAGAAAACCAAATAGGAGCCTGAGAAGGCAAAGAGTAAATTCAACCTAAGGAGAAAAGTCAAATATCTAGGCAGGGGAAAAAAAAAAAAAAAAGCTTTAAGTATATACACCATCCACATTTTTAACTTGAATAGGTAAAAGATTTCATTAATTTTCCACTATTGTGAAAAGTATGAAATGAAAGTGTGCTTTGGATATACAACCTGGCCTTCTGAACATGTTTACATCAATGTGCCTTAAACATAACATTTGTCAATTATATTACTTTCTCACAAAAACCAGCACCTCTTAATGACATTTTTACTTCTATCAACAAAAAAAATTTGGTAAAACAATACACAAACAAATAAAATCAATAATCTGCCATTGTCCCAAAAGCTGAGGCCAGGATCTTTGCTGTCATGTTTAGATATGGGAAGAAAAAAAAGAAACTATCTTGATTGACAAATTCTGAAGATTCTTCCTTTGCAATGACTTCCTTGCAATGTGACATATCATTCCTGCTTTCATACCCTTACTTCAGCAATTCTCCCCACCCAAAACTCCTTCCCCTGACTGACTCTATTTACATCTGCCTTAATTTAAAAGTCCTAAGTAGGGTCTAACTTAAATTGTATCCTATCCATGAACCATCCTAAAATCTCCAGTACTTACAGAACTTCTCTTTTTGCTGAAGTCCTAATGAGCAAGTTAATATTCTTATCTTTTTTCACTTTCTGGCATTTAATCATTTTTATTCCCACTGTGAATATGGTCAATGCCCTGACAATATGACATCAGATCTAAACTCTTAAAAGCCTTGCAGTAGCAGAGTAGTTAAAAGCTTGGGTTCTAGACTCTAAGAATCAAAAGTTGGAATACCGACATTCAAATCCCAACTCTACCATTTATTAGCTTTGTGAACCCGGTCAAGTTAATCTAATCTAATATCTCTGTGCCTTAATTTCCTCATAGGTTAATATGGGAAAAATAAGCAGCTATCTTAAATAGTTATTTAAGGATTAAATTAGCATGTAAAGCATTCAGAACTGGGTATGGTACATAGCGCACAAGTATTAATTAAGCTGTTACCCATTTCTCCTTGCTCCCAGGCCTCCCTACATATTGTTGTTCTATTACTTTTAAATGGTGGTTCTGCTATGTCAGTCCCCTGCAAAGAACTTTCCCTGGCCTTCCAGAGTACATGGGTCCATGCTCTTAGCTTGGTACACAACTATCTCCTCAGCTTAAGCTACTCAGCATCTGCTTTATACAAAATAAGAAACAGACATATAAGGCAGACACCCTCTCTTCCAGAGTCTGACAACTACTTATAAAAAAGAGATACAAACATAAAAACGTCACACAGAATAGATGTTCACACATAGATACTCTCCAAAAAACTCCAATCCAACAAAATCAATTTCATCAGTGACTGGAAGATGTCAAACTCATTCAAAATTACCTGCTTTTGTCTGTTTTATTCTACTCTCATCCACCCAAAACATACAAAAACCACCCAAAAAGACCTTTTCTTAAGGTGTACCTATCCACTTCTATTGTAAAGTCTAATTCAAACACCATCACCCTTGCCATTTAAACTTACTTAATACTATTTTATTTCAATCAACTGTTGTTTTTTTTTTTTAAGATTTTATTTATTTGAGAGAGAGAGAGAGTGAGGGAGAGCATGAGCTGGGGAAGAGGCAGAAGCAGACCTCTCTGCTGAGCAGGGAGCCTGACACAGGGCTCGATCCCAGGACCCTGGTATCATGACCGGAGCCAAAGGCAGACACTTAACAGACTGCGCCACCCAGGCGCCCTTCTCAATCAACTGTTATTAAGGTGTATAGTCACCCTCTGTATCCAAAATATAAGCTCCCAGAAAGAATAACAATTTCTAACCAGTTCTTGTTTTCTTCCCTCTCACCACTGTGCCCTCCATTAAAACAGATCATTATAGAACAGGTGCTCAAAAATATGCATTGAATTTAAGTAAACAAAGTGAAAATGGAAGTAGAATACTACTATCACTTATAACTAATTCCTAAGTAAACTATAGTGAGAGTGGAAATAGACTACTGTATCAACTATTAGACTATCACCTGTCCACAGAGACTCAAATCAAATCAGAAGGAGGCAGTCCACTCACTACTCCTATGTAACCACCATATGGGTAGATTTGCTTGTTCAGTGGTACCTTGGTCAAAAGAAGGATTAATAACCATTCTATTATATGCCATCTAATTTGAAGAGCTTGACCTCCAAAGAGAAGTGAAGTATGATACACAGGGTCAGCATCCAAGCAGGGCAATAACGGCCTGCTACACCCCTGAGTAGATGATTTGGGAAAACGTATTATATTCCACTCTATGGCAAACCTGTCACCCTCCAACCTGCAGGTTTTCGGTACTGTAACACACTCTACAAACTTAGCATTAAAAATTGTCACCTAGGGGCGCCTGCGTGGCTCAGTCGTTAAGTGTCTGCCTTCAGCTCAGATCATGATCCCAGGGTTCTGCAATCAAGCTCCGCATCGGCCTCCTTGCTCGCCAGGAAGCCTGCTTCTCCCTCTCCCACTCTCCCTGCTTGTGTTCCTGCTCTCGCTGTCTCTCTCTCTGTCAAATAAATTAAAAAAATCTTAAAAAAAAAAAAGTGTCACCTAGATTTCCATGTGCCTATGTTTTGCAGATTTTCTACAATGAATATGTATTACTTGAATATCAGAAAGTTTCAAGTGTTTATTACTTTTTCCAGCTTTTAATGGGTCTCCTATAATGGCCAGTGCAGAATGCAAAAATCACAAGGTAAAAGTCAACCAAGGGTATGTATTACTCCAATTCTCCACCGCCCAGGGAAAGTGCTAATTTGAACAAAGTTTTCAACTTCATATGTTTCAATTTAAAAGATTACTTCTACATATGCCATCACATGAAAGAAAAAACAATTCTCATTACCTTCCTAGGACTCCACAGCACTACAGAAATTGCAAAGAGCTGCCTCGATGGTTCACTCTTCCCCCCACCTCAAACACCCTCCTCCCTAAGGACTAAGCCCTTAATAAGGGCCACAAACAGGGTGCTAAGTAATTTACATGATTATCTCAATCCTCAAAACAATAGTAGGGTACCACTATTATCCCCAGAAAACTAAAGCTTAGAGATGAGATGTTTGAAAAATAAAAACTTGCCTGAGGTGATGCTTATAGGAAGGGATTATGTTATTGTATAAAGGAATTTGCTGGGAATATATATATTAGGCTCAATGACTTATTTGTCATGAGACAATTATAGCAGAAATCCTCAAACTGGAAATTTCACACATAGAAAACAGTAAGTGACATTTGGTCAAACTGTGGGTTTTCTTTGGAATTGTGCCTCAGGATACCTGGCACATAATAGGTGCTCAATAAAAACCTGTCTGTTCAAACCTAAATTTTAAATAATTTTATTCCTAAAACAATTTGATCACATGGCAAATCTGACAGGTTATTTGTTTTAACTAGATTACGTTGTGCAATAATCAATAATTATATCTATACCTAAGTAATGGCCTCACATCCTGTTTTTAGCTAAAGCAGGAAAAAAGTGAAAATGGTAGAAATAAGCTGTGTATCTTTTAAAGATAAGTTTTTCTAATTACAAATTCCATTCAAAATTTTAACATGTCATCTCAATTCATACAATACTCACTATGGATCCACCCTTAAGCCATCTCAAAATAACCTATTGTGGGGGTTTTAGTATAGCCATGAAAAGCACTGCTCATGTAATCACTATTTTTTAAATAAGTAAAAGAAAAAAATCTGAGTCTCCTTTGAGTAGTGTACCAAAGTAAAGCAGGTGCATTTGCAGATTATGTACTTTAAGCAAACATGTTATTTGATTAAGTTGGACCTTAGCTTAGACAAAAAGATCAAAGCTGGTTGAGTTAAGGCACTAGCAGTTAACTGATGTTTGAATTTGATAGCTGGAAAGAGTTCTATGAATACTCACTTTAAATGACTATGGGTAATCTATGAAGTCTTTCAGACACCCAAACTTTAGTTTCTAGGGAGAAAAAAAGGGTCTGTTCCATAGGTAAATGAATATCTGGTGTTACACAGAAAAATTAACATATTTTTCAGTTCTCATCTTACACACAGAGTAGGGCATAGGTATTATGCAAGTGCAATCTTTTCCTCCTTTCTTTGAAAAATGATTTCTGTAATAATTCCTTAATTCTGTAGCAATAGAAGTATTGCTTTCTCTCTTTTTTCTGAGGCTCAGGTTTCTTTCATTTCAAAATACTACTATTGAAAACTTAAATTCTTCTTTTAAAAAAAGACTTAATCATTTAACTCAGGAAGAGGGAGCAAAAAGTCAGGAGGTGAAACCCAAGGTATTCCTATTAGTCTTACATAACTTACTCTAAGTTGGAACTGATTCAGTATCTCAACGAAAACCTGAGGTAAAAGCACAAAAATGAGTTCTTCAGTATATTCTCCACACACATAAAGTTTTAAAAATTGAAAGGGTCTTATTTAATTTTTTTCTTGTATTCTTAAAATATAAGCACCCACATGTATAGTAAATTAGGGTGCCAACTTAAAAATGCAAAAGGATCACACTTAAAAATAAAGGGTGTTAAATTCATCCTATCACATCTAGGTAATGCAATATTTGATAGAATTGGATATAATTTCAGAAAGTAAATTAATTTCCTAACACTGATTTTTAAATATCACCTCTGTAAGTATGCATTAAGTATTTTTAATAAGTTCTTGCAGGGAACATCAAAAAGTGATTTTCAAAAGCAATACATATATGTTCACCCAACTTGCAAACAAAACTCTGAAAATGTAAAGTTACAGTTGTTCATGCTTAATGAAATTGGCTTTGAAAATTGCAAATTACTCCATGTGTAAATATGTATCAAATCTTTCAAAACTGTAAATTTACACAAACAACTGTCCTTACTAGAAAGACGGTGATCTGAACTCAACTAAAAGCTGTGTTAACTACATCTCACCACTGAGACACCTGAGCCCCAGTGTAATACTGGCCACAGATTCCCAGCATTGCTTTGGGAACTGCTGCTTGCTTATTCAAGCACTGAACGGCAAATTCACCTTTCTAAAAAGACTGGAAGCAAGAAGCTAAGTTTCACTATCTAGTTTTCCCAAAATGAATTAGGGTTTGGGATTTCACTGGGAATGACCACATTATCAAGATGTCATCGCCCTCCCGAGGCATTTAATTACAATACCTTCTGTTTTCCATTCAACCACCTCAACTTAATCTCCAATAGAACCAGACACAGAAAAAGTTGGTCCATGGCCTTGCTGAAAGTCTCCTCTGGGTGCAAATGCCGGGATCCTGCATACATTATGCAAAAAAGAGCAAAGGGAAACGAAAAGTAAAGATTGTTAGATAACGTGGTGACATTACCTTGCCCGTTTTGTGATCAAACCAGACGAGAGCATGGTTCCTTGACAGTACTTTGCAATCAAAGGTAGCATTATTCTGCGCTGGTCGACAGCGGGCCACGGAGCGGCCGATTTTAATGGGCTCGTCCAGGTAGACATGGCGCTCCTGAAATGGGTGCGAGTTCGGGCGGCAAGTGAAGATGGCCAAGGCTGACGGCATCGAGGACAGACTGGGGGTGTCTCTCCTACCAAGGTACAAAGAGGAGTTCCACCGGATCCGGACTGCCCTTCACAAGCCTATACCCCTATCCCCCCCAAAATTTTAAATTAAAACAAACTGCGCATTGTCTAAGCATAACCAGTGAACATCAACAACTCTTCACTTGAGTGGGAAGACAAGCCAGCGCAAGCCCCATCACCTCCTTTAAAAGCCAGCAGCGCCCTGATCGCACAAACTCCCCAACGGGCAGCTTTCAGTCCATCTTCTTCCCTGGGAAGAAAAGGCTCAAACATCGGCCAGCTTCGGCCAAGAAAACTCCTGGAAGACAGTTTGGGGACTGGAGGTATCCAAGCAGATGAGTCACACACCAATTCTTGTGTTTTGTTTGGGATCGCGGCCGCTTTTCCCCCTCGGTGGCGGAAACGTTGCAGCACTGCAGCATGAAGGAAGGGTCGGTTCCGTGCGGCCAGGAAGGTCCTCTCGGGCCGAAGGAAGGTGTAGCCGAGCACCTCTGGGCAGCCACCGCCCCTCTTCGAGGGCCTCGGGGAGTGGAACGGCAGAGGCGAGGGGGGCGGCAAGGGGGTTTAGACCGCCAGCGGGACAGTCTGCATTGCTCCTGCGGCGCGGAGGCCGCCCGGAAGGTGGCACGGGGTCCCTGGCACGAGCCGAGACGGCAGTAGCTGGGGTCCTTGGCGCGAGGAGCGGGGACAGGCAGAGGCGCGGGCAGCGGCCAAGTCGGGACTCCCGGGCACCTGGCGGGCGTCCCCGCGCCCAGGGCGGAGATCTGGCTCTGCAGGCCGGTGCGGACCGAGCGAGGCACAACCCCGGGAGGCTCAGGGGTCTCGGCCCGCAGGAAGTTGGTCCCTGAACGCCTGGGCTCCTGGCTGCTGCTCAGCACACCGGCCGCCTTCTTTCAGGGTCGCCCCCGCGAGGGTCGCATCTCAGGGACGGCAGCCACAGCTCCCAGCGGACGAGGAGGTGGGGGAGGGAGGCTGGCCCGGAGATTGGGGGAGAGGCCTGGAGGCCCCGGGCTGGGTCCGCCGCAGCCTCCACCACTCGCGGCCGGTGGGACACGCTCAGGCTGTGCCCGATAAGGCAGGAAACTTTCCGACCTGGTGGGGAAAATAAGAAAACAAACGGCAGTCAGGCGCCGGTGCCCGCCCGCCTTAGCCCGCACCCCCTTCAACCCGCCCCCCGCCAGTCTCCGCGACTGGCCACGACCTCGGCCAACCTCTCCGCGGACGAGCTGCGGGGATTTAGAGCCAGGACGCCACGACGGGCCCAGCCTCCCTCGCCGCTGCCGCCGCCTCACCTTACCTTGCCAGCGCCGGCCGCCATAGTGACTCTGACTGAAACCTACCCGGTGCACCGCCACGGGAACGCGCACCCTTCAAGGGCCCTCCTACCCCCTCTCCCGCGCCGTAGTCCGGGGTCGTCACGTGTTAGACGCCGTGGAGGCCATGATGGTTAAGGGCATAAAAGAGGGCAGGCTAATTTTTAACGGGCTCCAGACGCCATGTTGGTTAAGGGCTGGAAACTTCAAACCATAGGATAACCTTTACGACCATTTTGGTTAAGGGCAAGAGAAAATTTGACCTGTTAAAGGTTTTCCAAACAAAACGTGCCAACTTCCTACGTTACCATCTTGATAAGAAGACACCAACTTTTACTAAATTTTATTCACTATACTTCTCATTGAAAATACCAATGAACGAAGAGAACAGACCCATCCGAAGGAGATGTTCATTTGCAGTCATCTTAACTGTGGGCAACACAGTCCCCTACCGCCGCCTTAGGTGTGAACAACCAAATTCCCACAAGTCTCAGGATTTGTGCATCAAAAATGAGATCCATCCTCCCCCTGCTACTTCTGTGAATACTGTCCAGAGAAAAACTCTTAGTCCCCGCATTCCATTTCGAATGACCCTTCTCGTGGGACCTATCACGTCCCCCCAGGACTCCAATGCAGATTCTACCCCGGAACGAGTGAGTTCAGAAAGTTTAAAATCACGTTGCTTCCAGACAGAGGTCAAACAATTTTCAATATGAAAAAAAAGGGGGTATCGTCCCCACTCATAATATTATGGTGGTCGAGGAGTCATCAGGCTATAGAAGGAAAGAATACAAAATCTAAACGAAAATTTCAAGAAAAGATGGTGGGAAGGAGTTTTATTCATTTAGAACCAATGATGGCTTCATTCTTCAAATTCCTTTGACAACAGGCTCTACCACTGTGTGACCTTGGGCTTTTCTAAAACTTTTCTAAACCCTTTCAAGCCTCCTTTTATCATCTATAATTTGGAGATAATACATAACTCACTTATTGTGGGAATTCTTTCAATACTTACATATAGGGTTTTGGCCCTGTCCTGCCTGTCCTAAATTCTGTGCTAGGCCCCGGGGACACATAGGTGAACAAAACCTCCATCCCTGCCCTATGAAAGCAATAGCTCGGTATTGCGGGATAGGGATGGGGGCAGGGAACAAACATAGACACAGATCATTTCACTTTGATGTAATGAGGGCTAAGATGGAAGCAAGCACTGAGTACTAACGATGTCAGGGACAGCCTTTTCTGGGAGGTAACTAACTGAACTTAAGGAAGGAAGGTAGGAAAACCACCATAAATGACGTATTTGCTGAATGGCTTCTTAAATTTCCAGGAAGAGAGAATAGCAAGAAAGTAACAAAGCTATTTGAAACAGTGGACCAATGTGCCTGGCACATAATAGTGACAATAAATATTTGATGCATGAATGAAAATTACATACTGTTACTCATTATTACAGGATAAAGTAGAAATGGCACATAGTGAGTCTGGAGGGAAGAATATGCATTAGATTATAAAGACTTTGTATATTTGTGTACTTTTCTAGGACTCTTCACTAACTCAACAAATATGTATTTACTACTGTGTTCCAGATACTTTATTCTGGAAAAAAAATAATAAAGATATGTTGAAAAATTTTAATATAAGAGGATGAAAAGTTTTCATTTCTGGTCACTTTTAGGCTTTAGGCTTATGTGGAATAAAGTAATACAGGTCCCTTCACAAATCCTTAATGAGTTCCGTGAATGAATTCCTAAGTTATTTGTGCATACTTTCATTTGTTCATTCTATCAATATTTAATTGAATGCCAACTGGGAAACAGCTACTTTGAAAAGCCCTGCAACAGTGAAAATAACCCTGACTCCCTCAAGCTGCTCACAATTTAGGTGATGACATAGTAAGATACTTGCCATTGTGAGTATATCAAGAGTGATGGGAGCATGGCAGAGTAGTTTATTTGTTAAATTTTAATTCCAGTACAGTTAACATACAGTGTTATATTAGTTTTAGGTGTACAATATAGTGATCAACAATTCTATACATTACTCAGTGCTCATCAAGATAAGTGTATTCTTAATCCCCTTCACTATTGCACCCATCCCCCTTTGTTAACCATCAGTTTGTTCTCTATATTTAAGTCTGTTTTTTAGTTTTTTTACTTTGTTTTATTAAATTCCACATATGAGCGAAATCATATGGTATTTGTCTTTCTCTAACTGACTTATTTTGCTCAGTATTATACTCTAGATTCATCTATGTTGTTGCAAATGGCAAGACTGCATTCTTTTTATGGCTGAATAATATTCCATTGTGTGTGTATATGCATATATATATATATATATACACACATATATCACTTCTTCTTTATCCATTCATCAGTCGATGGACACTTTGGCTGCTTCCATAATTTGGCTATTGCAAATAATGCAGCAATAAACATAGGGATGCATATATCCCTTTGAATTAGTGTTTTCGTATTCTTTTTTTTTTTAAGATTTTATTTATTTATTTGACAGAGAGAGACACAGCGAGAGAGGGAACACAAGCAGGGGGAGAGGGAGAAGCAGGCCTCCTGCGGAGCAGAAAGCCCGATGCGGGGCTCAATCCCAGGACCTTGGGATCATGACCTGAGCCGAAGGCAGACGCCCAACGACTGAGCCACCCAGGTGCCCCGTGTTTTCATATTCTTTGGGTAAATACTATTGGTATTTACCCAGTAGTAGGATTACTGGATTGTTGGGTAATTCTATTTTAATTTTTTGAGGAATATCAATTCTGTTTTCCACAGTGGCTGTACCAGTTTGCATTCCTATCAATAGTGTACGAGGGTTCCTTTTTCTCCTCATCCTCACCAACACTTGTTTCTTGTGTTTTTTATTTTAGCCATTTTGACAAGTATGAGGTGATATTTCATTGTGGTTTCGATTTGTATTTCCTTGATGATGAGTGATGTTGAGCATCTTTTCATGTCTGTTGGCCATCTGTATGTCTTCTTTGTAAAAATGTCTGTTCATGTCTTCTGCCCATTTTTTAATTGGATTATTTCGTTTTTGGTGTTGAGTTATATAAGTTCTTTATATATTTTAAATACTAATCTTTTATCAGATAGGTCATTTGCAAATATCTTCTCTCATTCAGTAGGTTGCCTTTTAGTTTTGTTGATTGCTTCCTTTGTTGTGCAGAAGCTTTTTATTTTGATGTGGTCCCAATAGTTTATGTTTGCTTTTGTCTCCTTTGCCTGGGGAGACATATCTAGAGAAATGTTGCTGCAGCTGATGTTGGAGAAATTATTGCCTGCTCTTTCTTCTAGGATTTTTATGGGTTCAGGTCTCACATTTAGGTCCTTAATCCATTTTTGAGGGTTTTTTTTTTTCATTATGGTGTAAGAGAGTGGTCCAATTTCATCCTTTTGCATGTGGCTGTCTAGTTTTCCAAACAGCATTTGTTGAAGAGACTGTCTTTTTCCCATTGCATATTCTTGCCTCCTTTGTCAAAGGTTAATTGACCATGTAACAGTGTGGAGTAGTTTAAACTGAGACTTGAAAAATGAGTAGGAGTAGGGCAGCTACTCTGGTAGTAGCAGGATAATGAAATTTTAGGCTGAGAAAACATCATAAACAAAGACCCAGAAACTTGAGAGAACAGGACTTTACGGAAATTACATGTGGGCCTATATTACTGAAGCATAAGGGGCGGGAATTTGACAAGGAGAGGCGCACAAAAGTGGGTTTCAATTGTTGAAGGACCTGAGGGCAAATAAAGGACTTCACAACATTTTCATCTTTCTCCTAAGTTAAAGTAGAGTAATGAAAATCAAGGTTTCAGATTCAGACCTTGCATTACCATATACCAGCACTGTAAACCATAAATTTTTGAGGTTCTCTAAGTCTTTGAAAAAAGTAGATAATACCTCACAGAGTTTTGGGATGCCTGGGTGGCTCAGTCGGTTAAGTGTCTGCCTTCAGCTCCGGTCATGATCCCAGGGTCTTGGGATCTAGTGCTCAGCAGGGAACCTGCTTCTCCCTCTGCCTCTGCCGCTCCCCCTGCTTGTGCTTTCTCTCTCTCTCTCTAATAAATAAATAAAATCTTTTTTTAAAAGATCATGACCAAGCCGAAGGCAGACACTTAACCAACTGAGCCACCCAGGCATCCTTAAATAAAATCTTTAAAAAACAAACAAACAAACCTCACAGAGTTTTGTTAGGATTAAGTAAGATAATGCAAGACAAAGTGCCATCCTTCCATGATGCCTAGAAATAGTAGATACTCAATGTTATTTTTTTAATTCTTACTACTAGTAAGAATTCCCCCAGCCTTCCACATACAGTAAGGAGCAAGTTGTATTATCCTAATTCATAGATGGAGAAACGTGTTCATAAATGTAGAAATAAAAAGTATCTCCTTACGTTAAGTTCTACTACAGTATCTCTTAAAATTAATGTTAAACAAAGAAAATAGGGTTTTTTTTTCTGTGAGAAAACCTGGGATTGCTGTAACCTGGAAGGGTAAAGAATCCTACCACGCTATGCAGGGCACTAGAAATGCCAAAATGACATTGAAGGCATTCTTCACCCACTGGTATTCAGCAGGCACAGAAAAGTCTTAAATTAAGAAATCTCATACATGAGATATTTTGAATTCTAAGCCATGTGGGTGTTCCTCTCTCTGATTCTGTATCCATACAATATTTTAATTAAATAAAAAATAGGCCATGGTTTGGGGTGCCTGGCTGGCTCAGTCAGTAGAGCATGCTACCCTTGACCTCAGGGTTATGAGTTCAAGCCCCATGTTGGGCGTGGAACCTACATTAAAAAAAAATATATATATATATATATATAAAATGTTTTGAGAAATTTGGAATGGTAGTATTTCTCAATGTTGTAGCTTTCTACATTTTTAAAAAAATTGTTTACCTTTTTAATAGACTGATAACTATTTTTTAAAAATTTTACCTTTTTAATAGACTGATAACTATTACCAGCATTTGTTGAAGAGACTGTCTTTTTCCCATCTAAGATAGTTTTCAATCTTAGAAAAGCAAAGACAGAACTGTAAAATCATTACTCTGGTACCATGAAAGATAGGCCATTATTAGTATTTCAGATGTGTAGGAGACAACTCTGTAAACTCACTTAATATACAACCCCCCCAAGCGATAGTGATCTAATTAGACTTTATTTTTTTATTTTTATTTTTTTTTAAAGATTTTATTTTTTTTTTTATTCATGAGAGACAAA